TTTTTTTTTTTTTTTTTTTTTTTTTTTTTTTTTTTTTTTTTTTTTTTTTTTTTTTTTTTTTTTTTTTTTTTTTTTTTTTTTTTTTTTTTTTTTTTTTTTTTTTTTTTTTTTTTTTTTTTTTTTTTTTTTTTTTTTTTTTTTTTTTTCAGATAATCCTTATAAATAGATAACAAAACAATTAAATAGGTAGAAGCATTTATAAGCAAGGTTTTAAAAAAAATTGTTTTCAATTTTACTCCAATTTTGGTAGTTCATTCGCACGAGAGATTTAAAATTTTAATCTTTTAGTCAAAAATACATATCTTAGGTCTTTCGCTTGTATTCTTCTATCTCTCTTGGTTCTTTCTCTCTCGTCACTCTTGATCTCGTTCACCTAATAATGACAATAATTATTTTATTTTATTTCTAAAAATTGATGGTATTAATGCAATTTTTTAAAATTTAAAGGTATTATTGGATCAACGTAGAACAAAATTTTCTTTTATTTTAAATAGATGTTTAGGCTTGATTTTATTTTAAAAATTTAAAAGAAATTTTATTTTAAATTCTTTTAAAATGGTAGTAATTTTCACTTTTTTTTTTTAATATTATTATTATTGTCAAGTAGAATTTATTATATGATAATGCTTATGAAATGGACTATAATTAAACAATTTTATAGCAAAATTATTTATGAAAAGAATTTTCATTAATTTTTACCATTATATATATATATATATATCTTTTAAGTTTATTGTTTATTATCTAAGTTTAAGGTCAATTTAATAAAAGTGAAATTTTATGGTTAAATATATAATTTATTAAATGGATTTTGTTCACTTTTTTTAATTATTTGTTTTCTTGTTAAATAAAATAATTATAATTACTTTAAGAAATATTCAAAATGGGCCAAGCCCAAATGAGCCCAAACCAGAAATAGGGTTGCTCTTCAGCCCGCTTTGACTCTTTTAGGGCTTTGTAGGGATTGTTCCTCTCTCCTTATAAACCTAATTCAAGCATTTCTCCTCTCTGTTCACGGCGGAATCCAACTCTTCTTCAGAACCCCAAGTTGCAGCCGTCGCCATGGTTCGTCTTCTATCTTCGTGATTTCCCCTACCTTACGATGTTATCTGAGTTTTTTGTTAGCTATTAATCTTCAATTCCGGTTTTTGTTCGTTGTTTCAGGTCAAGTATTCGAGGGAACCAGACAATCCCACCAAGTGTAATGCTCTTTCTCCGCTTTTTTTCTTATGGATCTTGTTCGATTCATGTTCAATACTCTGATTTGATTTGTTTATCGTCTACCGGTTTGTATTTTCATCTTTTTGCCTTGAACTGACACCCTGTTGTTTCTCTTTTCAGCCTGCAAGGCCCGTGGCTCGGACCTCAGAGTCCACTTTAAGGTAGGGTTTATTCCGCTTTGTTGATCTGCATTCTTTCGGTATAACAATCGTGTAGAAGTACTATGAACTAGAAATTGAATGGTGTGTTTTTTTCATGGGCTTGACTCCCATTTTGATACCTCGCATATAAATTTCTGTTTTGTTTAACGTGCTCCTTTCTCTTATTGAGTGTCCTTCAATAGTTTTCTGTATGTAATTGATTGGTTTAAGTGATATTATATTAGGGCGTTTGTTAGTGATGTCGTCTTAAAATGTTCGTTTTGAAAAACAATAGCTGTTGCCGTCTAGGAGCTTTTGAATTTTCAAGGCATGAGAGCGAATGCTTAAAGAAGAATCAATATCGTATTTTTTTTTTGTTTCTTTCGTCAACAGTAACTTTTCTCAGTACTTCTCTGTACCCTGATGATAAAAGCAGGGCTCTGTTGCCTCCTGTGAACAGGGCTCTCGTAAACTTCAGGGAAATTATATGCCTTGTTATTGGGTGAACCTCTGTAACTAATAGTGTCTGAAGGTTCAGTAAATGATGCTACATAATTGAGCTTGTACTTTGACTTGCATATTTCGTTACTATATGTTGGTGCATAGACTCACCACAACTTGTTTGTTTTTTCATTTTATAGAACACAAGGGAAACTGCACATGCTATCAGAAAGCTGCCATTGGCCAAGGCGAAGAGGTACCTTGAGGATGTTCTTGCCCACAAGCAGGCCATTCCCTTCCGTCGCTTCTGTGGTGGTGTTGGAAGAACTGCTCAGGCAAAGAATAGGCATTCCAATGGCCAAGGTCGCTGGCCTGTCAAATCTGCCAAGTTTATTCTAGATTTGCTTAAGAATGCTGAGAGTAATGCTGAAGTATGTGTTTCCACTATTCGTCTCTCCCTGAACTGGTGTTATAGTCTTTTTCCTTCTCTTGCTAATAATTGTTTCTGCCTTTCAGGTTAAGGGTCTTGATGTTGATTTGCTCCACGTATCTCACGTCCAGGTGAACCAAGCTCAGAAGCAAAGGCGTCGCACCTACCGTGCTCATGGAAGAATCAACCGTATGTTATTGCTACAGTTTACTTATATTTCTATGGAAGTTCATGCGTCAACATATTGCCTTACCCTTCTATTTCCATTCCATTTTTTCTTTTTGGTTGGCAGCTTACATGTCCTCTCCTTGCCATATTGAGCTGATTTTGTCTGAAAAAGAAGAGCCTGTTAAGAAGGAGGTAATCAAACAGATTTCCCAACTACTTTTCTGCTGTAAAGAATTGGTTGAGTTAGACGTATTTCTTACTTTTGTTATTCATTTACAGCCCGAGACTCAGCTGGCGACTGGAAAACCTAAGAAAGGTCAAGCTATCCGTAGTGGCGCTTCCTCTTGATTGGCATAAGTATAAACTCTGTTGTGGGTTTTGCTATGCCATTTCTTTTTTGAAGTGAGTTTAATTATTGGTCATTATATAGATCTAAGGGTTATTATTTAGATGTTTTGTGTGACATGGTTTATGTGGAACCTTTTCTAGCTTCAATTTTCTTCACGTTGCAATCACATTCTGGTTCTTGCTTTTTTTACATGTTGATGAGATCTTTTGACGCCTTAATTTCATAGTTGAAAAAAGTCTTCACCCCAATTTGGGAGCCGAGTAAATGGTCAGGCCATTGGTCTTGTCCTCTCAAACGTTAAAATTCTAGGCATAAAAGGTGTTTTTTAAGCATTTTGAAAAGTCATTTGAAACTTATTCTTTAACCATAGATGCTAGATATGCGTTTGGGTTTCCAATAATTTAAGTAGTTAGGTATGATGCTGTTGCAAAAAAAAAAAAAAAAATTGATGATTTTTTCAAGCAGACCTAAACCGAAATAATTGATCTTAGATTATTTCTCGGCCAATAATTGATGATTTCTCAAGAGTATTGTAATGGGATAGAAAATCAGAATTTGGTAAACAAAAGTTTCATTAATGACAAGGCTGAGGAAGAACTGTTGGACATAAAATTAATGAAGGTGAGTTAAAATTGGAAGAATGATCAAAACTATTTAGTTTCCTAGAGAGAGATATAAGGGGCTCCAAGGGTAAAGAATAAAAACGTGTAGATGGAGGAAAGAGATGGTGAGACACCCAATATACTGGAAGAAGTTGTATCTATCACTCATGGCTTTAGGGTTTAGGGGTTTCAAGGTTTAGGGTTTAGGGGTTAGGGGTTTAGGGTTTAGGGTTTAGGGGTTTCAGGGTTTAGGGTTTAGGGTTTAGGGGTTTCAGGGTTTAGGGTTTAGGGTTTAGGGTTTCAGAGGAAGCAAAGAGATTTCTGATATGATATAGCTATTATTGTTATCCTAGGGAGTAGGAGATTGAACTTGGTACCTCTTCATCAACTAGAAACAAATCTCTTTTAATGGTCCACATTGGCTACCGAAGGATCATGTATCTCCGAGCTTTAAGACATTCTCCATCATTCTCCTGCGCTCCATCCAGTTAATAAAAATGCAACTCGAATATCAACTTCTGAGATTCTAATAGCTAAAACAAATACCCCTCCATTAGAATCAACTCGAGGAGGAGGCATTTTCAGTGAGAATATGACGGTCGTCCTTTAAAACCAAACCGAAGCTTATTGTCGTTCTGTCTACAACTACTTGTCGTCTGATTAAAATGGGCTTGATAGATAATTGTCAAGCCCAGTCCATTTAGTACGCTTTTCTAGTCATGGGCTAGGCCCATCCCTATAAAGCCCATCTTTCCCTATCCCCACTCATTCACGTGGGAAAATTGTAAGGAATAGCTACAAAAAATTAAAAAATAAAAAAAATCTACAATATGATGATGTGGGAAAAGGGAGTGAATAATTTTGTTTCGGTCCTTATATACTCATATTTTCGTCGAAACACGAACATCAGACAACTTCTCAGATACAAACACTGAAACCATACAAATATTATCTTGACTCAATAAAAGTGATTAGATATCTATAGTCAACTTGAGTATAACCCGATTAATTTAAGCATATACTCTTGACCTAGATATCAAAGACTTGAATCTCCCGACCCGACAACTCGAAAACACTAAATTAAAACAACCCTCAAAATAATTGCAGTGAGGCCACAGAAACCAGTCAAAGCAGAAGGAAGCCAAGTGATACAACATAGATGGTAAGTGTCCGTAGAGAAGTATAAAGCATTAGAGAAACTTCAGTGAAACATATTTCCGTTCATATCATGTGACCATCCAACAATGATAAACTCCTTAATTTTCTCGATAAGAATCATAAAGAAACACAGCAATTATCTTCATTTTTTGACAAGACTAATGGAATGCTGGTGTATTTATAATGGATTTAAATAGCTTTCAATCATGTCACTACAGAACTCTAATTTCAAACACCCTATTACTAAAATAAGACTGTAAAAGCACAACATGCTAAATAAACCACAAAACAGGGAATATAGAGGCATAGCTCAGAAGAAGATTATTGAAACTCCCATTGAGAAGCATCCCACAGCTACCCAAGGACTCAAACG